CAATATGGCGGGGGGGGGGGGGCAATCCCTGCGGCCCCCTGCTGCATGGCGAGGCTCTGCCACGAACCCTCAGAGGCCCCAATTGCCACTGCCAAATCTAATGAATGTGTGTTTTTTTTTAAAGCTGTACACTCACCAGCTGCAGAACATGCAGATGACAGCAGGCTGCTGCTGCTGGCTGGGGCCAGCGCCAGCACCCGAGTCTGCTGGTGCAGCCTGGGGCCAGCACCAGCACCCGAGTCTGCTGGTGCAGCCTGCACCGAGTGCCGGGAAGAACCCGGTGCTGGTGCTGGCTTCAGCCGGCAGTGGCAACCTGCTGTCATCCCGTGCACAGATCCGGGGGCCCGCACCCCCCAGAAGGGTTGTGGGGCTATACCAGACTCCTCCTGGGGAAAGCAGGCCCCCAGATCTGCATGCAGGATGACAGCGTGCTACCGCTGCCAGCAAGTGATACTAGTTTTGTTTTGAACAGTTTGAGTTTTCCAGAAACCCCTGCAACTATCTCCTTGAAACTTGGCAGGCTTCATGGCCTCAGAAGGGGCTAGTATCCCTGTAAGTTTCATCTGAGTCAGGCAAGGAATGACAAAGTTATAGGCAGTTTTGTGATTCTCCATTATAGCCCATGGCCGAAACACCGTCGAAATTCCGAAACAGCTCTGCAACAGTTTTGGCCAAAATGAAACAGAACAGTGATTCAAAACACCAAAATGAATCACTGTCCCTCTGAAACACCAAATCCAAAACAGAAAGAAACAACCATTTTGGACAGCCCTATGAGACACTGAATCTAAACACTGTCCCTCCAAAACCAAAATGAAACGCAGGCATTTTGCACAGCCCTAGTGTTTGTCTTGTTTAACATTGTACCCATTGTTAGCAATTCTAATACTACTTCTGTTCCCTGTTGTATTTCCTAATGTCTCTTGAGAGAGGGTAATAGAAATGCCAGTGTTCCTGATCTTTAAAAGACAATGAAGATTTCTCTTTCAAGAGCATATTTTCCATATTAAGATTAATTTAGAATGTAACTTGGTCAGTTTTTTTGAGTCACTGTCTCCTTGGCAAACGTCACTCTTGACTGTTGGATATTGCTGAACTAGAATTGCACAAGTGTACCGAAGTATGTTAAAAGATTTTCACCGTTATCCTTCATTGAGCTTTCTGACTGGACTGCTATAAAGCAGTAATATATGATCAAAACTTTCTTCTTCTGACAGTTATTTTATGGTGGTTCTAAGTAGGAATGAAGCTGAGTTCTGCTGCTTTTGAGAACACCAGATGAAATGATTGAAGTGCTTGGTCTTCTGTTCTTGACAAGGGGCTACAAACAGACATCATGTTTTTCAGACATTCATATCCATTGGCCTGGCATGAATCCAAAAATGTTCACAGGATAAAAAGTACTAACAGTTTATCCCAGAACATCACAGAGTATGTCTGAATGGTTGTCCCAGGAATGTATCATTCAGTGAACGTAGAAAAACAGCAGTGCGTTCAGCCACTTATTACACCCTGATTAGAAGGGTGATGTGTGTACACCCCAATCCCCAGATATTTCTGTTCTGAAGCAAACTCTGGCACAACTTGTCCAGGGACAAATGTAACTTCTGTTCCTAACCTAGCTTGTGGTTCATTGTATGTTTCGGCAGTAGTCCTATGAAGCCAATTTCCAAATTATTCCAAAGCTTAAATCTTTGGCCTAAGTCACTTTATTTTGTAGCTGCCATGGCTGGAATTTCAAATGTGTTAACTCCTTAGAGCCACCAGTGAGGATTCTGCTTTTGAGGAAGATGAGGTAGTGTCTCACTTGGAAAAACTAGAACACAAAATGGGAGTAACATGAATTCCTTAAGATACCCTTTGACAGGTGTAACCCTGGGTGCAACGCTACCCATGCCCTCACCTGAATAGTAGGATCCTGGGGTACCCAGTAGCCGGTAGCCCTGCTCAGCTCCCTGGTTAGCTGCTACAGAGTCCCCAAGTGGAGCACCTCCCCTGACAATCAAAACAACCTTGCAGACCATTTTCAACTATTTACAGAATTTAATTATTTACAAGATAACATATAACTAATACAATAACACAAATAATGTTACACAACATTACTCGGCAATGGTGACTTAAGGGTTCATGCTTCTCAAATATATATTACACCAGGGCAAGGCATACAAATTACCCATGATAAATAAAGAGCAAATAAATAAATACATACACCAACTAATAAACCATCAATAACCTATTTACACACACAGTCTATAACTTGTATGCTCCAGGGTAACTATAAGGACCCTGTGTACACTGCCACTCTGCTTGGTTTCTCAGGGAGCAGGGCTGCTTCTGTGTCCCTGGCACAGGAGCCGTGGGCAGGTCCCTGCTGCTGGCATCTCTCTTATGAGCTCCAGGGGTCTCAGGGCAGTAGGCAGTGGCTTCCCCTCTGCGATCCCTGCAAGAGAGCTTATTCTTGCCCCGACCCTTGTCCCCTGGCACAGCAGGGAGCAGTGTCTGGGCTGCAGGTTGTACCAGTTCCCCGGCCAAGCACACCCTCACCCCACCTGGCAAATGCAGCCCCTCCCTGGGCTCTGCCTGCCCCAGGGCTTCTGGTGGGCTGGGATGGTCCCCTGCCCCCTCTAGCCCAGTGCTCCCTCTGGCACACACAACCTGCCCCTCCTTGGGTGCTGTCTCACTCACAGAACAAATCAGGGCAGTCTCCCCCTGGTCCTGTATCCCCCTTCCCTCCTGTGCTCACCCACACCACACGGGCTTGTAGGAGGGTCTTCCCAGGCTCGGGGTCTCCTGACAGGCAGGTCCTCTTTTGTGCCTGCCCCAGCAGGGCTCCAAGGGGGATAAGAGGAAGAAAGGATATATTGTGTCTCTCTGGTGCAGCCTCTCCGCTATCCCTGCAGGGCTCCAACAGGGGCTGTCTGACAGACGGCTGTAGTGAGGTCCTTTTCCTGGCCTCCAGCCTGTCTCTCTTCCCCTGTTGTTCTCCTCTCCATAGAAAAACTGCTCCCCGCTTTTAAACAAGCCTTCTCAGCAAATCCCAGGCCACGACTCTTCCCAGGCTTTTGCTAACGTCCCTCTCATTCAAACCCCTGCTGGGGTTACATCACTCCTCCCACTTCAAAGACGGCTGTCTCCAAAGCAGCTTTACTCACCCTCAGGGCAAAAAATGTCCCTACTGGGGCAAACTCTCTCTCTTCACACTGTCCCTCTGCAAGGCAGCCCTTCCTATCCCTTCAGATGAGTACAATTTTAATGCTGCTACACAGGTTTTTCAGTTGTGCCTCAGTTCATAAAGGGTATTAACTCTGGAGGACAACAATATCAGGTAGAGAGGTGATCCTGGCCTGTGATGTTATACACCAGCAATCCTCAACCGGGGATCTGTGACCCCCCTGGAGGGGTGCAAGCAGGTTTCAAGGGGTCTGTAGGGGCTGTGGATCTGGTGAAGTCATGATCTCCTTGGTCAGCTGGAGCAGCCAATGCCCAAGCTGAGCCCACTATCACTGCCACCGCCAGGTTCACGGAAAAACATAGATTTTCTCCTTTAAAAGAGAAAAACATGGGTTTCCCCTTGCAGGCTGACAGTGTTCCAGCCTGCAAGGGACTGTGGGAAGCAGAAGGAGGCCGATATGGCAGGGGGCACCATGTGCATGCATGTGCATGCACACATGCACATGACAGCCAGGCAGCAGTGGAAAGCAGCTCCCACAGCACAGGTAATTTGGGGGGGAGGA